TATTACAAGGGTAGTTCAATTTTTTTCTCTCAATGGTCAGATGGTAAATATTTTAAGCTTTGAGGACCATTAGATCTCTATTACARTGACTCTATTTTGTTGCACTAGCAAAAAAAGTAGCTGTATACAACACTATATATAAATGGATAAGACTGATTGTTGCAATAAAGCTTTACCATATTTATCCAAATAAGGTATGGGCCAGATTTAGCCTGAAGGTCACAGTTTTCCAGCCCTTACTGAGTAAAATACAGATTCTCCACAATTCCCTTGAATTGAAATGGAAATAGAAGTTGAAAATAGAAAACCTGTTAATCATATCACCTAACAATTATGGTAAAGTTAGTGCTATCCAACAATATAAAAAGTTAAATCCTGTTGAAGTAATTAGTATTTCAATAAAACTCCATATGGCATTGGCAGTTCAATATGTAGTAGGAAGAACAATTAACTGGAAATTAAAAGGCTTTAAGTATCAGAGTGGATGCTTATTTTTATTAGCTGTGCTTCCTTTTTTAGTTGTTCTGTTGTCAGTTTCCAGAATCTATCAGAACTGGAAAGGGAATAACAATAGGACCCATACATTCTTTAGTGTAGGTTATTTTCATTAAGGACCAGAACAATCTAATTTAAAGTAACATAGGTTCTCTTCAATTTAACTTACTCAGTTGCTTATTCTATTTTATTTATTTATTTAKTTAGTTAGTTGTAGGTGGACACCCAATATCTTTATTTCATTTTCATGTGGTGCTGAGGATCGAACCCAGTCAGTGCCTCACACGTGCTAGGCAAGCGCTCTACCACTGAGCCACAACCCTAGCCCTCAGCTGTTTATTCTAAAAAAACAAACAAACAAAAAAAAACAGCTGTCTGACACAAGATCAATTAGAAAAGTATTACCTCAGTTAATCATATGTAGAGCTAGAAAGAAAAAATTAAAGTCATCTTAAACTAGCTTTCTTTCAGTCAGTTTAAAATAGTCTTTCCACTAGTTCTACCAAACTAATATTGGGACTGAAAAGAGCTTTAAGAATTAATACCTTAAAACCACATCTTTATTATACTATTAGAAAGTTTTTTTAAAACTGTAAGCATCTATCTTACATCTTCCAGTCACTGTTTTTTGGTTCCGCCCAGAACAAATGACACCTTTCACTCATAGGACAGCCCTGCAAGGATTCACAAAATAACAGAACCACAGGACCACATATAACCTTCACTGTCCCAAGTTCAAGCACAGAAAATGAAAAGACTGCCTCCCTTTCCACTGTATAAGCTTATCTCTTGCAGTGATGCCAGGCTCCTTATACTTTATTCTGATAACACTGTCTTGTTCAAGTCATAGGGTAAGTGAGGTCACACTTACATGGATGGGGGTCAATATTTTGATATCATTTTCCTATGGAAGATCTATGAGACAGGAAGATGAATTTGGATAGACTGATGAATCCTAGATGAACTGATGCACTTATATGGCTTCTACCTCCAGTGTGTTCAAGTGAAAAATGGCTCAAACATGGAAAACAAAAACTCTAAAAAAGAAGCTTAAGAGATAAAAATGGCATCAACAATTGTCTGATTTTAGCAAAGTTAACTTAAAAAAATCTATCATTATTCTATGAAGAGAATGAAGGCATCCATGCTTCTAAAATTTATTTTACAAAAATTGAAAGGAAATTTACTGAAGTTTTACTGTTCTAAGCATCACTRTATTTACTAAAATTTTGAAAACAGAAAACTTCATGTGTGAAGAAATGAACTGACCCACACCTCAGTACTAAAAAGCATTTGAAATAACTTAATTCTCAGTTGCTCTGAATAAAAATCACTTGTTACCAGGGCAGTTCTAAAAAGTATGCAGATGTAGGTTTTTTGTTTTTTTAATAGTCAAGTACTAACTGTTGAGGATATTATGAAGAATACAGAGATAGAAAGATAGCTACCATTATAATTCTGAAAATAATCTATGTGATCTTAACTGAATGCCATGTCATGAAAATTTTTTTCTTTTTTTAAAAAAAATTCTACCACTGAGCTGCATCCCAGCCCTTTTAATTTAATTTTTGAGACAGGATCTCACTAAGTTGACTCACTAGGCTGGCCTCAACTTGTGATCCTCCTGCCTCAGCCTCCCAAGTAGCTGGGATTATAGGTATGTGCTACCATGTCCAGTTTACAGATTTTTTGAAGAGTCTTTTAAAAACATTTGATGCTCAAATATGAAAAATATATTTCATGCTCTGGTTTTCAAATTGTGTGGTAAGTACTCTCCTTCACCCATTAATGAAAGGAAAATATACCATAACACCTGAAAAGAAAGTCTTAAGAAGGAATAAGTTTATTAGGTCTTTTGGGATGTAGATTATGAGGTTTGTTAAAATTCACAACTTGAAGGGTCACAACTTTGGAGGGTCTTTGAATTTAAGRGTTTTCTATTAGTCCATAGGAATTGGTCTATGACTATAAAGGAAGGATGACTACATAGTTCAATAGTTGATTGCAGGTATTATAAAGGCCTCACAAGTGGAACAAAATTTTAGTTGGTTCTATGCTTTCCCTTTCCTGTTGTACACCAAGATATGAATTCACAGAATTCCATTACTCATGGAAACCTAAAATAGGAAAGAGCTGAAAACCACATCAAAACATTATAAATGTATAATAGGGCCAGGCAACACTACTATTCCTATCCSAAACAACCTTCCTGCACTTCACACAACTTGCCCACTATAAAGTCAATTGAGTTGACAAGCCATTCTCTCAAAATCAAGTGATTCTCTCAAAGTCCTCTGAGTGAAATTGGCCACCCACATGAATTACTAGAGATAAATTTTACAGAAAGACTATTGAGAAACAGTGATTGCAAGTGACTTAACCAAGATACAATATCAGTTGGTGGCAGAGTGAGTTTTAAATCATTCCAAGCTATTGCTAAATGAAAGAGAATTTTATTTTGAGGCTACAATGGGTTCTTCAAGGAAAGGTGGGTCTGAGAGTAATCTATAAAAATGTCAAAAGAAAAGCGTTTGATAGCTAAGCTAGCATGAGGGCTTTGGGACCAAGCACTTTGATAAGACAAGTAGAAGAATATTTAAAAGAAAAGGTTCTCATCACCAAGAAGGTGAAAACAATCTACAGAAATTTTTTGCAAATCATACACGGTGAGAGATTTGTATCTACAAAGAACTCTCATAAAGTGAAAAAACAACCCCCCCCCCCTTTTTAATGGACAAAGGGCCACTGGGGTCATGGTTCAGTGGTGGTAGAATGCCTGTATGGCATGCATGAGGCCCTGAGTTTGATCCCCTGCACAAAAAAAAAAAAAAAAAAAAAAAAAAACAAAAAAAAAAAAAAAAAAAAAAAAAACAGGATCTAAGTAGATATCTCTCCAAAGATGATACAGAAATACCAATAAATCCAGGAAATGAAACTCAATAATATTAATCATTAGGGAAATACAAGTCAAAAATATCATGATATATCATTTCAAATCCTCTTGACTGGCTAACGTAAAAAAAAAAAAAAGACAATAACAAGTATTGGTGAGGTTATGGACAAAGTAAAACCCTCAAACACATCTGTTGGGAATATAAAATGGTACAGCCCTTTAGAAAAAGCCTGGCAATTCCTACAAAGACTAAACATAGAATCACCATATGACTGAGTTGTTCCACTTCCAGCTATTACACTCAAGAAAACATTAAAACATATGTCTACACAAAAATTTACATGGGAACAGTCATAATAGAAATTTTTTAATAGCCCCAAAATGGAAACAAAACTGTCCATCAAAAGGTGAATGGATAAAAAAATGAGGTACTGCTACACAATGAAATATTATTAGAGTATAAACAGGAATGAAGTATTCATACATGCTACAACATGGGTGAACTTTGAAAGCATCATGCTAAGTGAAAGAAGACAGTCACAAAAGACCACATACTGTAAAATTCCATTTATGTGAAATGTTCAGAATAAGCAAATCTGGAGACAGAAAAATAGATTCGTGGTTGCCTTGGGCTCATGGGGGTAAGGATAATGGAGGTAGGTGATTGATAAAAGATGTGAGGCTTCTTTCCGGGTTGAGGAAAATGTTCTAAAATTGACTGTAGTAATGGTTGCACAATTCTGTAAGTATATATTAAAGAACGTACAATTTAAGTGGGTGAATTGTATGGGATGTGAATTATATTTCAAGTCCTTACAAAGGAAAAAGAAATAGTTCACKACTTTGTATTTTTTACAGCAGTTATAACTAACAGGCAGCTATTTACGAAACTCAGAACTAGACAATAAATGTCCCAAACAGTTAAATAAAAGGTTAAAAGGTTCAGTAATCGTACTTGAAGCTTTTATGACAAAGGACAAAACCCTATTTCTTGTGTAATAAAATCCGGAAGACAAAGTGGCCGTGCACAGGCTTGGAAACTAAGGCAGCGAAGTCGCCAGGTGGGTCAGGGATCAAACGTACCTCGAATCACTCGAGGGAAGAGGCGGCGCGAAGGCAGCCTGGAGTCTGCATTTCTGCTGGTAAACCCGGGTGAGCACTCCCACCTGGAAGCTGGCTGCGGCCGGAAGGCTGAGGCAGAGAAGCTGCAGCGGTCCCACAACAAGATCCCAGAGAGGCCTCCGCAGCCGCTCCGGGTTTCCATGGCTAACATCAACTCTRGCGCGCGCCACCCGAGCGGAGCAGTTCGCGTGCGCGCACTCGCGCGCTCACGGGCGGGGCCAGCTCGCCTCAGCCTGAGCTCGCTTCCGAGGCGGGCTGAGGTATCGAAGGGAAGAGACGCGATTCCTTCGGTCCGGGCCCGGGCCCTAGTATGCCAGGTTCGGGCTCGTGGGAGACGTTAGTACTCTGGTCCCTCTCTGGAACCGGACGTCTGCGTTAGGGATTTGAGGGCTGGAGGTCAACCTCTGAACTTTAACCCGGGCCGCGCCCCCACGCAAGAGCGTCGAGGTCCTGGTGACGTGACGTTCTTCCGCAGGGCGGGCTCCACGGTTGGATGGACGCCATTTTGGGAGCGCCTGGTTATCTGAGGTCGGGAGGGGTTGTCTGCCCCCTGACTCAGAAATGTAGTAGGGCCCCAATCTTTCAAGGTCGGACGACCTCAATTAATGGCACCTGCTGTTTGGYCTTCACCACCCAACACTGACACGGTAATGAGGACTTTTCAGTGCTTCTTCGTGAACCATGTGCAGTTTGGAAGATTTGGAGCTGCATCACCGGCATACTTCGTTTTATTTTGCTTCGCAGATATTGTAGGTTTTTTGGTTTTGTTTTCGTGTGTGTGTGTGTGTGTGTTTTTTTTTTTAACAAATTGAAGGATGTGGCAACGCTACGTAGATCAATACTGTTGGCGCCATTTGTGACTACTTTGTTACATTTCGATAATTCTCACGATGTTTCAAGCTTTTTCATTTTTTTAATATGATGACTTTTTGATACTCATTGTAATTGTTTTGGGGGGTATTATGAAACATACCTATATAAAACAGCCAAATTAATGTTGTGTCTTCTGTTCCACCCATAGTGCTGTTCCCATTTTGCTCCCTCTTGGGCTTCCCCACTTCCTGAGATACAACACTGTTGAAATTAAGGCAGTTAATAACCCCACAATCCTTCCTCCAAGTGAAAGAAAGACAAAAGCTAGAAATGATTACGCTTAGTGAAGAAGGCATGTCAGAAGCTGAGATTGGGAGAAGAACGTTGTGAATGCAAAGGACACGTTTTTGAGGGAAATTAAAAAGTGGTACCCCAGGCGGGKCGGGGTGGTGCACACCTGTAATCCCTGCGACTAGGGAGGCTGAGGCAGGAGTATTGCAAGTCAGAAGCGAGGGGCTAGGCAACCCAGTGAGACCCTGTCTCTAAATAAAATACAAAATAGGCCTGGGGATGTGGCTCAGTGGTTGAGTGCCCCTGAGTTCAATTCCCAGTAAGGGGCTGGGGGGGGGGGGGAGGAAGCGGTATCCAAGGAACACAAAAATGAGAAAAAAGCAAAACAGCCTTATTGCTGAAACGGAGTCAGTTTTAGTAGTCTTGATAGATGATCAAACCAGCCTCAAAATTCCCTTTAAACCAAAGTCTAATCCAGAACAAGGCCCTAAATCTCTTCCAATTTTTTGTGAAGGCTGAGAGAGGTGAAGAAGCTGCAGAAGAAAAGTCTGAAGCTAGCAAAGTTTGGTTCATGAAGTTTAAGGAAAGAAATCCTTTCCATAGCATAAAAATGCAAGGTCAAGCATCAAGGACTAATGTAGAAGCAGCAATAAATTATCCAGAAGATCAAGCTAAGATAATTGATGAAGGTGGCTACATTAGATAACAGATTTTCAATGTAGAAGTGGAGCCTGAAGATATGACTAAGTTACAGTAATCATCCTATGATAAAACTGATGAGGAGTTACCCCTTACAAATGAGCAAAGAAAGTGGCTTCTTAAGATGGAATCTACTCCTGATAAAGATGCTATGAATATTGTTAAAATGATAACAAAGGATTAAGAATATTACATAAACTTAGTTCAGAAAGTAGCAGCAAGGTTTAAGAGGATTGACTAATTTTGAAATTCTGCTGCAGGCAAAACAGCATTGCTTGCTACAGGGAAATCTTTTGTGRAAGAGTCAGTCAATGCAGGAAAGTTAATTGTCTTAAATTTTAAGAAATTAACACAGTAGTCCCAGCCTTCAGTAACCAGAACCCTGATCAATCAGCAGCTATCAACATAAAGGCAAGACCCTCCACCAGCAAAAAGATTATGATTCACTGAAGGCTCAGATGATTTTTTTTTAACAATTTCTTATTAAAGGTATGTACATTGTTTTTTAGACTAAATAGACTCAGTATAATGAAAACAAAACTTATATGCATTGGGAAACCGAAAAAAATGTGTCTTACTTTATTTTGATTCTGGTTTTATTGAGGTGGTCTGGAACCAAATCTGCAGTATCTCCAAGGTTTACTTTGTATATACTTACTATGGCTCATTTATTGCATTTTTCCCCCCAGGTGTGAATTGGTGGCTGCCTTCTTAATTACAAGGAACCAAAATGCACATTGTTGCAACATGTTACTAGGATTTGTAACTGCATAGGGCCGTTTTTATTTCACTTCGAAGTGTATTCATAAAGCTAGGCAAAGTTCTTGTGCCCCCCCCCCCCCCCCTTTAAAGCCATACCTGATTTATTAGTGTGAGTTTCATTTTAGATCCAGGAATCTTTATGGAATGGCCATAAAGACCCTTATTCTTGTTACAAACTTAAACATATTTCCAGTGCCCACTGCCATATTCTCCATGAAATTTGGTTTCCTCCCAAGTTCTGGAAGCATTTCACATTGCCAGTTAGGAGTCTTCAAGGTGGCTCCTGAGAGCCGCRATAATAATTGGTCTCTGCTGAAATCAGTGAGCCCCATGTAAAGGAACATTTAAGTCAATTTGATTTTGTCATGGTACCCATGTTTTCCTGTTATTGATCGACCATTTCTGCACACATGAGACTCTAAATGGCTTAAGAAATGTCTCATTTGGGTCTTATCTCAAAACTATAAATGTGAACTATAAATGTGGTCTTGTTTTCCTAGCTATATGGAAGTGATGGCTTTGTTCTTAAACATTTAGGGTTTCAGGCCTTGTGGTGGTGGTGGGGAACAATATTAAAAGAGAATCAAGACATTTTTAAAAGGATATAATTCTTTCTAAAGGTAAAGTACTTTATGGAAAGTATATGGACGGAAACCTTATGTAATATCAAGGACGTGTAGATATTTGGACACAGTTTGTRGAAAGAACCTGTTATAATTCATTGTCTTCACAATTTGATAGATTATGAGAAAGTGTGCTCTTGGGCCATCCATAATGTTGCTACTTCTTTGTAGGGGAGACAARCTTATTTATCATTAGTCACAGTACCACATTAATTAAACCTTGAAGCATTAGCTAATTGCTAAGAAGTCCAAGTGTAGCAGCATTAAAAGTAGAGGCTCTAGAGTCAGGAATCATGGATTGAAACCCTGACACTACTGCCCATTATTTATGTGATCTTGGGGTTCACCTGATTTCTCTGGTCCTCAGTTTCCATGTATTATAAAATAAAGCTAAATGAGAGAATTTAACTCACAGTTATGTAGGTTGTATTAAATTACTGCAGATCACTTATCATAGTAACCAGCAGTTTAAGTGCTTATTAAGGATGAGCTGATTGTTTATAATACCTTCTTTCTTATGGACTTTATATATTACTGAACCAGAATCAACATTTATTGTTGAAATGTCTGCTGTTTATATTTGTTTTTTTCAAATATGTTTCAATACTTTAAACCACTTTTAAAGATGGTTTATGGTATGAAGCCCTTTTAGTTATAATTTGCATATAAAGTATTTATTCAATATTTACTGAAATTATAGTTCCTCCTTATCAGGAACCATATTAATTGCTTCAGATAACAAAGTCAAATAAAAAATTTCCTCAAGGTTTGCCAAAATGTAACTTGGGAAATGAATAAGGATATCAGTAGCAGAATGTGAGATAAACCAAGAAACACTGGAAGTTGCAGGAAAATATGACACAAAACTTTCTGGTGAAATTAAGGATGGCTGCAATCTAGTTTTAAAGGGCAAACAGAAGATGAAGATGTGAGACAGCAGGTATTCCAAATGGAGGGACATTTATTTATTAACTCACTTGACATATATTTAGAGCATACATAGAATTGGGTTCTTTTGTGCCTCATTTAATCTTAACCTTATGAGACAGTTTATTGTTATTCTTATTGCAAATATAAGGAACCTTAGCTTCAGAAAAGTGAAACGATGAAAGTGGAAGTTGAGCCCATATCTATATGTCTTTACAATTCTCCATCTATTTTCTGTTATCTTGCTGGCTCATATGAAAAGATGATAAAAAAATGTGCTACTTCAACCAAAAAAATAGGTATAGCAAAGCATAATCATGACACACGTTTTTGTGTAATGGTATAATGTCAATTTAGTTTTAAGCTCATATTGAAGTTGGTCCTCTTGCTAAAAAGTAAACACAAATTACCATGAAGCTCTTACTTTGTCTCATTGCCCAGAGATTATGGGCCAGAAGGCTACAAAAATTTATGCATCCTGCAGCACCAGGAATAATGGATAAAGAAGGGTGAAATTTAAAATAAATAAAGTTAAGAAGCAAGAACAATAACAACAACAAAAATGGGCAAAATTACCTCAGGGCATTAAAAAGATGAGTTTCTAAGACAAGGAAGCAGAATTGCTAGAATTTGGTAAATAGTTGGGTGGGGATGGGAGAAGGTACAGAGGAGTGTGAGGAGACCCAAGAAGAAAAGATGAAGATGAGTCCAACCTTGAAGTCCAGTGACCACAAAGTTTGTGGCACCCTAAATTAAATAAGCAAAGGAGGAAGAATAGTTTTGAAACAAGATATAATGAAGCCATTCTGAGAAATGTGTTTGAGGGGGTGGTGGATTATTCAGGTATATATATATCCAGTTAGAAATATARACATTGGACCTTGGAAGAAAGCTAAAGATATAGAGTGTACTTAGGGGAAAGAAAAAAAAATGGATAGTGAAGTTATCAGATTTTAATGCCAGGGTTTAGGTCTTATGGGATGATTGAATCAAAGAAGAAAACCACTATGAGAAAAAGAAAGGAACTATAAGATGATCAATTTATTGCTAGAATTCATCTCATTGTTTTAGATCACAGATAATGATGTGATTGTGTGTGTGTGTGTGTGTGTGTGTGTGTGTGTGTGTGTGTGTGTAGGGTAGGGCTGATAGTTAAACCCAGAGCCTTGCATACGCAGGGCAAGCTCTCTTCCACTGAGCCACATCCCCAGCCCCATAATATGGATATTTTAAAAAGATTGTGTGAATGAGCATGTGGTGGGTAGAAATTTCAGAGTGTATGAGCATATTCACAGGCATGTAGGTTGGGTGACACTCAGTTTTGAGGATATTAAAGACAGGAGTGACCAACAGTTAATTACAAAGTTTCATATGAAAGTTCCTTTAATACAGAAAATTTCATACCACAAATATAAATAGATCAAATAAAATATAATCATGCTTTGCCACTTGCTGGTGCTAAGCTTTATTGTATGATACAATTATAGTTCTGAAACATTTACAGTAATTCCTGATGGGAAGTATAGGGTGAAAGGATAGTATCAGATTTGGGTTATGATCAAGAATTCTTAGGTTTCTTGGATAGCTCTTAAAGTTCACTATCATTTTATATCAATAACCTAACATATGTTTAA